TTATTTGGTGAATTTAGAATTTAAGAACTATGTTTGGAAGCCTAAAATAGTAATTTGTTCGTTGTTTGTAAACCCGAACAAGTTTTGTATGCTATATTTTGAGTAATAATCATCGAATTTAAACAAAAAAAAAACTGATAGTCTGCAGTCAAATAACAGGCGATCAAATATCACCTTCATGAAAAAATATTTGGATCTATGAAGGCCTACTAAGAAGTATGTGTTAACCTATTTGCTGATCTTACACGTTGATAAATTTGATGTTGCTAAAAGGCAAAACATTGTTTTCTTTAATCTTTGAACATTTTCTTCTACACCTCTATTTCTTAGTTACCAGTATACGTTTGTTTATGTGCTTGTTTCTTAATAAAATATAAAGAAAATAACAAAATATAGCGAGAAAAATTCTAACATTTTGCCAGTATCGGCTTTACGGCAACCATAAACTTCACCAAAACCACCTCGACCAATAATGCGATGAACCGAAAAATCGTTCATTGTTAATTGCATATTCAATTCCAGGTTTTTCCATTGGCAAAACCTGGTAAATTTAGCGCTGAAAAAAAAAAAAACAAAGCTGTTATTTTTGAGACTTTGTTTCTTAGTTTTCTTTCTTTTCAACCACATATAAGACGTTAAAGATGGGTGAACAGTAACGGCAATACCCGAAGCATTACTACAGATAACTATAATGTCTAAAAGAAGAGCAATTTTTTTTTTTTGGTCAACTAATTCAGCCTAATTCATTAACATCAATTTTTTGTCATCGTCTTTCTCACCTTCTCTTCCTTCATCAATAATGGTTGTCAAAAAAAAATTGGTTCTAAGTAAAAAAAAAAAAGCAATTGAACTGTTCAATATTTTTATTTCTTATTCAATTAACGCTTACAATGAATTGTTTCTTCTTCTTTTATTTGGTTGTCCTTTTTTCTCGTCATTTCTGCTTTTCTTTTCTGTTTTGTTTTTTTTTTTTTATTTCTTCTACTTTTCTTTTTTACTCAGTTTTCTTGTCAAATTACAATCATCAAAAATAAATGTTTAGCATTGAAGCAGTTCTGTTTTTTACAAAAAAAAAGGTTTTAATTGTTAAAACTAAAAATTGATGAAACCATTTATTGATCACATTTAATCATTAATTTTTCCTTTTTTTCGTTTTTTTTTTTTTCTTCCTCAATCCTCCTCTACTATTTCTATCAATCCTTCTTCAACATTCCAACATTTAATTCAATCTTTTTTTTTTTTTTTTGCTTATAAGACATGCAAAATAAAAAAGAATAGTCAGTAACAATATTGTTTACTAATCATATTGCAAATTTCACACACCAACACACACACACACACACACACAGATTATCACCGGGTTTCTTTACAGCTTTTTCTTTGAACCTCCATCGTTTTCCCAGAAAAAAACGAAAAAGATTTTTGAACTGAAAGCCGAATGCAGCTGTTGAATAACAAAATCTCTAACTCCTTTGTTCCACATTGCTGCTGTCAAAAAAAAAAAAATGCTAATCTTTTACATGTATTACCTGTATAAACTCTTAAAACCAGCTCAAAGGTTTTCATTAAAGAATAACAGAAAAAAGTCCTAATTTATCGGCAAAAACACTGGAACCTTTTACCCTAAGCTAGTCAACTATGAATGCAATTAAACGGTATAATGTAGAAGAA